GCTCTAACAGAGAGTTTTCATAGGATTAAATAAAATAATGTATAGAAACAAAAATCAAAGTCAAAGAAAGAATGTAGACCTTAGAATCAGTACCAGAGTTCTGTTTCCTAATTCTGTCCCTAATAGTGTGACCTTAGGCAAGTTGCTTAACTACTAGTGGTGGATATGAGTTGAAGGACATAAAGAACCAAGTTCATAATCTTGCTCAAAAACATGAGTGCTTTTTTTCCCTTCCTAACTCCTATTTTAAAGAATATAAGAATAAGCTTTTCATGCATGGGCACCTAAACAGTTACGTTTTAACCTGCAATTTTAACTCTGCGCCTGTTTTCCCCCACTGTCTTGACTCCTAAGGGCATTTTTTTCTGTGTATGTATGTTTAAATAACATTCAATAAAATACACTTTAAGCATTCAATTAATAAGTTTTGACAATTGTAGTATACACACATATAACCCACTTCCCCAAACAAGATGGAATAGTTCCAGCACTCCTGAAGGATTCCTTATGTTCTTTCCAATCAATATTTTACCCCCAAACCCTAAGCAATCACTTTCTGGTTTAAATAGTTTTTGCCTGTTCTTGAACTTCATATAAATGGACTTACATAGTATTATTTTTTGGAGGGAGATCTGCTTTCTTAATGTAATAGTTTTGAAATCAGCCATGTTTTTGTGTATACCTGTATGCATCCAGCAAAGTCCCCTCATCTCTCACTGGTGATGGTTTAGTTACTTGTTTCTACCCAAACCTGTTACAAAAAGGAAACAGTCACTCACCGTGATTGGTCTAGCTAAGTAAGATCCACCTCCTAGGGCTCACGAATAGGGTCACCATCTCTGATCATGTGTCCTCAGAGGAAGGCAAACACCAAAAGTTCATTCTTTTTTATTGTTGAATAGTATTACATGATGATACCACAGTTTATCCATTCTCCTGAGCCCCTAGATTTTAAACAATTTTTAAAGCATGGGTATCAATTGGGAGTAATTTACTTTTGATATACAAATTAGTAAAGGACTGGAAAATTTACATAGATTTTGCCACAGAGTAAGTCAGATTTTTTAGCCTCTAGCTATTGTCTTGCTTACATTCTCTCTACTTGACCATGTATTGAAAAAGAGAAAATGAAACTGCCCTTCTGTTTCTGAATGTCCTGTATAAATATATTCTTTTTGGCCCAATGCCTAGAAAGTTGTTTATAGAGTTGATGGAAGGATATATAATCTCACTGTACTCTGGAAGGAACTTACCTTGGCAGTCAGAAAATTTATGGGGAATATGCAGTATTCTCCTTGAAAATTGCCAAATCCTGGTGCCTGGTCATTGTCCTCTCTATCATGTTATTTCCTTATTCCCTCTCTTTGCCCCCCACTTCTGTGGCATTCCTCTGTGTAGCTTTGAGCCTACTCAGTGTCCTCAGGAGACATCCTGCCTTAAAATTGTGCCGTTTGCCTGGATGAAATGTACAATGTGCACAAATAGGTTGTAAGGAAGCACACATCTAGGCTCTCCTGGGAGCTTAATGTCTTTGCTTTGTTCTAGTCTTACATTTGAAATAGTCTCATTCTTCTTCTTTCACCAAAAAACTTCCCAAGCCTTTAATTTCCTCTCTCAATCAAATAAAGCATGAAGAGTAGAAATTATTTCTCTGCCTTTTAACCCTTTTGTACTGGATTTAGTCTCGTTTTTTAAGGCTTTTTTTTTTTTTTTTAAGTAAACAAATTGTCTTATCCCTTAGCTGTAACTTTTGCTTTTGTTTTGGTCCAGAAAAATTTGTTTCCAGGAATCCGTATACCCCAAAAGTAAGGAGAGCCTTCTGCAGAGGATTGCGGGACTGGAAATGACTAGTTAAGGGTTATTTTGGAGAAGAAAGGAGTACCTCAGCTCATGAAATATCGTCTGATGGATTTTGAGCTCAGTGTATCTTCTGATGGATCTTGACTCTGGAATAGTAACACTCTGACCCCTCATTACTAGCCTTTGTTAACTTGAGAACAGCTTCTTTTGTCCTAGAAGCAAAATGGTAAGAAAAGTTAAGACCATGTGATGTGAAGACCTGGCTTAAGAAGCTGGGAATATTTAGAAAAGGAAATAGTTGTCTTCTATAAGGGGCTGACATGGAAGCGAGGTTAAGCTTGTTTGTTTTTTGCACAGAGAACTAAACTGGGGCCAGTGGGAGGAAATAACAAGAAGGTGAGTTTTGCCTCTTTATAATTTCCCCTCAAGAAAGGTTTGTATATGGAGGCAAAGATTTTCCCTTTACTGGAGGTATATAAGCAGGGTCAGGACAACATTTTTTCAGAGTTACTGATGATTCAAGAACCTGATTGTAGAAACTATAGATTGCAGAAGGATGGAGCTGAATGAAAAATTTTCTCAGTCCCCTTCCAATTATGAAATTTCATGATTCCTTTGTATCTTTGGTAGACCTTTCATTTTTTTTGCCTGATCTGTCCCCTTAGTTAAAGGCAGTATTGCATAAAGGTTAAGAAAGCAAACACTAGAGCTAAATTTCCTGGCCTTGAGTCCTAATGCTGCTGTGTACCAGTTACCTTAAGCAAATTATTTGACATCTCTGCATCTATAATCTACTTATCTATAAAGTAATGATGGTAATAATATGTATCTGATAGGATTGTTGTAAGATTAAATGAGATATATAAAGCACTTTCAGATAGTACCTGGCACAATGTAAGCACTCCAAAAAATTTAGCCGATTATTATTATCATTGCTCTCTCAGTTATTTCCACTTATAGAGCTGGGCTTCTCTATCTGGTCCAGCTACTCCCTCTCTTAACATACCCTTTTTGGCTGTCTCAGGATACTTTTGGCTAAATTCAACTCAAAATAGCTTAAATGATAAGATTTATGACCTTACATATCAGGAATTACAGAGCTAGGGGGATCCAGGTTGACCATTGTCTATACCACAGTATCAAGGATCCAGGCTTATTCTCTCTGCTTTACCATCCTCCCTGCGTTGGTAGGATGTTGCCATAGTCCAAGTGATGCCAGAGAGCTCAATGGGGCGGGAGTCCAAAGAAGGCCTTGAGCTGGAGCCCCAGTGACCAGATTCTTATGCTCCAAGAAAGAATTCAAGGACACGACAAACAGCAAGCAGGAAAGCACAGGTTTTATTAAACAGAGTAAACACGAGGAAAGTGTGGGCAAACTCAGAGAGCAGGTCTCCCCAAGCTGTCTGAATTATGGCTTTTGTTTTCTTGGGTAGGGGGGTGCCTGAAGATGTGATACTTGCAATGCAGGTGATATTATAATGATATTATCATTAGCCAAAGCTGAACAAAGGACAAGGGAAAGACTCCAGAGCCTTATCCTGGGAGGGACAGGGTGAGGGAGGGGATTGTCCCAAGGCCATTTATCCTGCCTTCTAGTTTGCCTTCTAGTTTCTCATGCCACCTGGAGGGGAAGGGGCAGTCCAAGGTCATCTATCCTGTCTCCTGGTCTTGGCTTGTTCTCATACCAGTCTCAGCCAGAGTCTCACTCTTAGGAATCAAAACAGGGAGAGGGCTGAGTAAGGGACTAAGGAAAAATTCCAAAGCCACATCATAGAGGGGAGGGGGTATGTCCCTAGACTAACTTATCCTGTGTCATGGGCATCATCTGCATACAGGACCACCGTCAGCAGAACATAACTACCATTTTTTTCTAGTGGCTTTTTTTTTTTTTGTAATACAGTCAGAAGCCGTTCTTTGAAGCCACCCACCCAGCAAAGCCCTCTCCTGTCTCACTGTTGATGAGTCACTTGTCCCTTCACAAACCAGTCACAAAAAGGAAACAATTACCACTATTGATCTGGCTAATTAAGATCCACCTCCAAGGTCTCAGGAATATGTTCACTTTCCCTGATCATGTGTCCTTAGAGGAAGACAGACACCAGAAGAACATCAGGGCTAGATTGATGAATGTGGAAGAAAGGAGAGATTTGGGTAGGCAGCCAGTATAGTGCGCTACTGTATTTTTTTCCTCTCCTTTTTCCTCAGAGGAAGAATTGCTTTGTTTTTACACAGCTCTCAAGAGGCCAGAGATCTCACTAGAGATGACAGTCAGAATTCTTGAAAATGGATGCATTAATCATTGTTCATTTTATGGCTGGCTTTAGGAATCTAAAGCTCAAGTTTTCCCATTTCTCAATGAATGAAGGAAACCATGTAGCTCCTTAAAACTTGAATTGGAATATATGACCCTATTTCACAGGTGGCCGTTATGAAAGATCTTTTTTTTTTCCTTAGCACTGAGAAACAGTGCTTGGACACTGTGAAGTTGGTACAGGTGTCCAGATCGTAGAGCCTTTTTTGACCCACATGTGAAGAAGAGCTACAAAGTTCATTCTGTTTGAAGAAACATACCTATTTGATAATTGAGGCCCATCCTGGAAAAAGAAACAACCTGCTGCTTTATATTTTTCCATATCGCCTTTTTTTTTCCAGTTTTATTGAGGTAATTGACACACAGCTCTGAATAAATTTAAGGTGCACTGCATAATGACTTGACATACATATATTGTGAAATGATTACCACAATAAGTTTAGTTAACATCCATTTCCCCATATAGTTACAAAATTTTTTTTTCTTGTAATGAAAATTTTTAGGATCTACTTTCAGCAACTTTCAATATACTGTAGAGCAATGTTAGCTGTAGCCATTGTGCTGTGCACTGCATCTCCAGGACTTTTTTTTCCCCCCCTCTTTAATCCTCTCCCCCATTTCCACTCATGACCTACAGATGTTGCTGTCTCCCCTTAAGAACAGGACCTCTGAAGGCAGCGTCTTTTCCCATGTGCTGCCCGCCCCAGGAGCACGGTCCATGGCTCCACCTGGGGGGCGAACCCAGGACCTTCTGACATGCAAAGCAGATGTGCTAACCACTACACTATGGAGCCACCTTCTTTTTTTTTTTTTTTTTGTACTTAAAAAGCAGTTGGGCCATTTATTGGCATTATGAAAGCATTCCTTTAAACAAGGGATGGGACTCTGGACACTAAAGTCTCATCCACTTTATGAAAACTTGAGACCAAACTCTCTCCATCGTCTATATGTAGCTTAATAACAATCAGGAGTAAGAATCTGAGTTAAATAAATTGCACCAAACTGTCCTGCAACAAGATAATAAAGAGAAGTGGGGGCAAAGTTCTTTCACACTACAATGTTTCTGGCACAAGATCTAACAATTTCCCAGCTCAGCACAAAACCACTTCCCATTGTCTCAAGACAGTCATTTAATTATCAATAGTCCATGGACTAATATCATTTTGTGGAAAACAGGGGTATACCCTTTGGCTCTATGCATGGCCTGCAGCTGAGGCGCCAAGTTCTTATGAACCAACGATTGATTGGCTGACACACTCTTAGAGAGAGCGCCTTCAGCATTAGGTCTCAGCTTCCCCATCTACAAAATGCAAATCCCTGTGCAACTGTGGCAGGAAAGGGGGAGGAGACCAGCTAGGCTTCCAGATCGAAGTCATAGTGCTCTTCTTCATTGTACTCTAGCACGAGCCACTTGATCCTGGATGAGTCAACCCCGGTGACGAAATCCTTCATGCTGCGCGTGACAAGCCTGGTTTAGGTGACCACGTCAGTGACTACGTGCACATGGCCCTGCTCCACAAAGGCCACGGTGGCCTGGAGGTGATGCGCCATGTGCAGCTTAAGGAGCACGGTGGGCAGGCAGCGGCAGGAAGACGAGGCCATGACGAAGTCACAGAGCTCGAGTGAACCACGCGTGGGCACCAGACCAAGAGCATATATCTTGTCCAGTAGTGCGGTCAAGGCACGCATGCGAAACAGGTCGCCCTGGGGCAGGTCGCACAGGCACCACGCCAGCTCATGTACAGAACGGCTCAGCTGGTGGTAGCACGTGTAGTCCTCCTGCCACTGCAGCACATAATGCCACAACACACGCAGCTTGTGCAGATTGTGGTCAGTGATTTCCCAGTTCAGGAAGTCCACCTGCTTCAGTAGCTTCTGCTTATGGAATTTAAGCTTTCGCACCATGATTATAGCTGCTAGAGCCGCAGGATCCAAGCCTAAGAAAGCCTGGACTCTTTATCTTACAACTGGAAGCCTGTACATTTGACCACCTTTATCCAATTCCCCCACCCCCTACTCCTCAGCTTCTCTTTCTGACAGAGAAATCTGTTTGAGGCTAAAAAAGAAAAATATTGAAGGCCAAGATAATAAAGAGAAGTGGGGGCAAAGTTCTTTCACACTACAATGTTTCTGGCACAAGATCTAACAATTTCCCAGCTCAGCACAAAACCACTTCCCATTGTCTCAAGACAGTCATTTAATTATCAATAGTCCATGGACTAATATCATTTTGTGGAAAACAGGGGTATACCCTTTGGCTCTATGCATGGCCTGCAGCTGAGGCGCCAAGTTCTTATGAACCAACGATTGATTGGCTGACACACTCTTAGAGAGAGCGCCTTCAGCATTAGGTCTCAGCTTCCCCATCTACAAAATGCAAATCCCTGTGCAACTGTGGCAGGAAAGGGGGAGGAGACCAGCTAGGCTTCCAGATCGAAGTCATAGTGCTCTTCTTCATTGTACTCTAGCACGAGCCACTTGATCCTGGATGAGTCAACCCCGGTGACGAAATCCTTCATGCTGCGCGTGACAAGCCTGGTTTAGGTGACCACGTCAGTGACTACGTGCACATGGCCCTGCTCCACAAAGGCCACGGTGGCCTGGAGGTGATGCGCCATGTGCAGCTTAAGGAGCACGGTGGGCAGGCAGCGGCAGGAAGACGAGGCCATGACGAAGTCACAGAGCTCGAGTGAACCACGCGTGGGCACCAGACCAAGAGCATATATCTTGTCCAGTAGTGCGGTCAAGGCACGCATGCGAAACAGGTCGCCCTGGGGCAGGTCGCACAGGCACCACGCCAGCTCATGTACAGAACGGCTCAGCTGGTGGTAGCACGTGTAGTCCTCCTGCCACTGCAGCACATAATGCCACAACACACGCAGCTTGTGCAGATTGTGGTCAGTGATTTCCCAGTTCAGGAAGTCCACCTGCTTCAGTAGCTTCTGCTTATGGAATTTAAGCTTTCGCACCATGATTATAGCTGCTAGAGCCGCAGGATCCAAGCCTAAGAAAGCCTGGACTCTTTATCTTACAACTGGAAGCCTGTACATTTGACCACCTTTATCCAATTCCCCCACCCCCTACTCCTCAGCTTCTCTTTCTGACAGAGAAATCTGTTTGAGGCTAAAAAAGAAAAATATTGAAGGCCTATCATGTGGTAAAAGAAGTAAACTTAATTTTGTATGACTCTAAGGTAGATTTAGGATCAGGATTGAAGCAGTTTATAGCTTGTTATAGGGAGCAACTATAGAACAACGGTTAAGACTATTTAAGACATAGTGAAATGATCTATCCCAGGAGTTTTCCAGGAGAGGCATGCAGGCCCCTCTCAGGAAATTACAGAAAGGAGCTCTTCTTGAGGATGGTAGAGGGAAATTGCGAGAGTTCATATCTAAGAACACTTCCAGTTTTCATCATTTTTGATGTTTTTCAGCTGAAAGATATGGAGAAGGCATATGCTGAGTTTTACTATATTTCAAACTTCAGGGAATGGGGGCTTGATTTACCCATGAAAGAGAAGTAAATATATGTGTGTGTGTATATATATGCAGTTCTTAGGTACAGCCAATGATCTATAAAGCTCTGTATGTAGGTTATAACTTTTTATAGAAGCTTCTAGATATTGAATCAATTAATTGAGAAATATAATATCAGCCATTTTTTTTGTAGTCAGTTTTTTCTAGTACTTTTCATCTTTAAATTCAGCTGTATGTCTATGACTCTATGAATAACTCTCTGGCCTTTTAAAGGAAATTTATCTAGTTCCATGCAAACTAAGTCTCCAGGCAACTAACTGTTCAAGAGCGACCACAAAATGAACAAAGCAATAATCTTGCAGACTATCTAATTTATGCCAAGATGAGGTTACCTGTGCTTCTTAAGAGCCTTCTAGGTCTTAACCTTTAAACTAATCTGAAGGAGGAAATAAATGTCTGGTGTGACAGTTTTCTTGAGGCATTGCTATCTGGTTGTTTAGCTCGTTTCAGGGGCCAAAGAGGCTAGACATGACATCTGGGAGGATTTTCAGTCTTATTTTATAAAAGGGAAAGTATTCAGCATTGAAATATAGTCATTAACTATGTAAGGAGAAAGCACTACAAACCATTGTTAGAGCTAAGCATATTTGACCAATGGTTGCTGGAGGGCATGAATATGTATGTGTATAGAGCATCAACTTCTGTTTCTGCGCGTGCACTTGGAGAATTGTGTTGACTTCATTATGGGATTTCCCAGGTAGCAATAGTAAGTGATAAAGAGCCAGCCACCCATGCACTACAGATGCTCTTTGTCTTGGGGAGGCAGTAGAGTGACTGAACTCAAATAGTGAATAGCAAAACAAAGATTCTCTCTTCCTGGAGGGTGAGACCCAGTCTTTCCGAAGGACAGATGAATAGAGAGTTCTCTTCTTGCTTTTTCAGCTTGCTGAAGATAAAGGAATTAGGATTTTATAACCGTTGTTTGATTTTGCTGCTTTTTGGTGGGGGAGATGTTTAAAGTTGGTAACAATGTTGTGGTTTGTAATAGCTGTGGAAGTTCTTTCTGGGGAAAGGAGAGTGGTCCTCTCTGGAATCGAATAGAGCTCTATGATGTATTTTTTTTCTTTCTGGAAAGAATCTAGTGAGTTAACCCTTTGAAGTACTCAAGCTGAAAATGTGAGTAAATTTCTGTAGGAAACAGGGGAGGGCAAATAAAGTGCCAAGAGTATTTGTACTACGTTGCTTTAGAACTGAATCCTGGTGAATCTCTAAATAATTATGCTGTAATTAGTAAAATAATCCAGATAATGTATGATAAACATTCTAGAAAATACAGACTAATCTGTAGTGACAGAAAGCAGATCGGTGGTTGCCTGGGGAAGGTAGGAAAGGGAGTACAGGCTTACAAAGGAGCAGTGGGAAACTTTTGGGGGTGATGAATGTGCTGATTGTGCTGATTTTGATTGTGGTGATGGTTTCACAGATGTATGCATGTTTCATAACTCATCAAATTGTGCATTTTAAATATATGCAGTTTATCGTATGTCAGTTTTACCTCAGTAAAGCTTAAAAAAAAAAAAAAAGAAATGGATCCAGGGCAGCATTTATCAAAGGACCCTTTTTTGGGTTACAGGGAGGCTGCTGAAGACTTGTATATGTGTTAAGTATGGATATACACATCCTGTTTAATGTATTTCATGTTTCTTTAGGAGTCCATAGAGGCTACTGTATTCTGTTGAAGAAGATGTCTAACAGTAACACTACTCAAGAGACTCTGGAAATAATGAAAGAATCAGAAAAAAAACTGGTGGAAGAATCTGTAAACAAAAACAAGTTTATATCTAAGACTACAAGTAAGGAAGAAATTGAGAAAGAGAGTGAAGATACCAGTTCACGTCAGGAGACACAGGTGAGGACTAGAAGTACATCATATGCACACTCTTTATACCTGAACAGAAGTGTCATTGTAGGTGGCAGTGGGAATCTGTAGGAAGCCAGTCACTTATATGAACACTCGATTCTCCCTAAAACCCCAACTTTAGCTCTCAAGAAATATCTTCTTACCTTTTTGTCATGGACTGACTCCACAGTAAAGTCTAAAGAAGACAGAATGAAATCCCTAATCCATTGGGACCTGAGTTACACTGGTGTTTACTACATTTTGATATTTTTTAACTCAAAAATTAAACTGTATACAAATACATATTTAACAAGTCATGATATGGCTCATATAAAAACTCTTAAAACTAGAGCTTCCTGGCTTTACATACAGTGTTAAATTCATATCCTGGTTGTGTTAAAGCAGTCAGCATTTTCTGGGTCAGAAATAGTCTCTGAACTTGCCACTTAGTAAATGTGAGTGAAAGGAATTTTACTCTTTGGTTGCCATGTTCCTTTCCAACCAAATTCATACTGCAATGCAGATATAATGGCAGTAGACGATGGCCAGCCAAGCTTCCTCCAGATCTCCTCTTTGGTACCCAACCAGCTTAGCTTCTGAATCTCCTCTAGTCTACCTGTTCCAGTCTCTTCTTCTCTGGTCATTGCTGGTTTTCCTCTGTTACCCAAGCCCAAATTACATAAATCCTTACCTTCATGCCCAGGGACGAGAAAGGTCTTTATTATATGCTTAGGAGATAGACTTAACTCTAGTAAAGTATTTTAAAAAGGAATAGCAGCAGTATTTTGGAGGGTCTAGAGACTTGAAGCATAATTCTTATTGACAACCCAATACACCTAGGCCTTATCTTCTTTAAAGATTAAAACAGCAACAACATAAAGAGATGAATTAAAATCAAACAACTCTCTGAAATATTATGTTCTCTAGCCGCCTGCTTTTCTTTCTTTTAACAATTTGCCAGATCTCTGTCCTGGCTCCTTTTCTTTTCATTATCTGTTGCATGTGAGTTGTCATTCCCTGCCCATCCTTCTAGAGTTTGTAGAGACAGTCTGCCACTGTTCCATCCATACTTCTAGCCTCCACTGATACCAATAATGAATTTTAAATCCTAAGGACAGATAAGTAATGAATGTTTTATTATGTGCTGGCATTTTATGTGGAAGATAATAGTTAAATGAACTTTTGGGTCCAAGTTACTCTGTTCTCAGGAGACTATTTTAAGTGGTATTCTGAACTCTTGCTGCATGTACTTCTTGAAGATGGACAGAAAAGAAAGGATGTCTGTAGCTTTTATACTCCTTATGAATGCTCACTTGGTTTTAAAATGTCTTCGTATAAATATACAAATAGTTTGTGTGGGAGGTTGTGAGGGGAACCGGCCTCCCCTCTGACTCCTTTTGCTAGTGCTAGAGCCGGTGGAGCTTCTGCTGCCATCTACTGGAGCTTCTGTTCCTTCTACAAAGTCTTTAGTTTTCTCCACCACCCTTTGGAAGCCCTCTCTTCTCTACCATTTCTCAGCAGATCATTGTGTCCCTTCAACAGCATCAAAAATTCTGTTCTTTCTATATTCCTCCTGACTGACACCCCAGAAGTCTCTGTAAGAATCTTACTGATGTTGTCAAGGGAGTACCTGTTATGAATTGGAACTGGAAAGTTTGTGAAAAAGGAACTTTCGTTACTTGTACTGTGTGAGACATGTTCTTGGAATCAGCAGTTGGAATTCAGAACATCTTTTGGATGGAAACAGTGCTATAAAAGGCAGGTTCTGAGATTCAGTTTAGAATGGGCAAACCCTGGCTTAACACATACTGAACTTAGGTGGATCCTTTAACCATTTGGGTATGGCCTCTTAGCTGGGCTTCTACCTTTAAACTTGTAATCCATAATCCCTTCTGATTCATCTACTGTACTGCTTTAGAAAGATAGTTGTGAAATAAGGATGTGATTGTTAATTCTCCTCAAACTTTTTGTGTCTTCTAAGTACCAGATTTGTCAGCATGGCATATTGTGACCTTGTCCTTTACCTGCTATTCATCTGCCTCTGGCATCCTAGGCTTCAGCATTATGTGATTCCTGATTCCCTATTATAAATTTGACTGAAAAGTTTGGGGAAAGCATGCTTTTGTACATGCTTTCTCTGCCTGGATTGTCCTCCTTGGTATTCTTTCCCTGTCCTCCAACCCCTGACCACCACCACCACCACCCGCCAGTATCTAATACCTGTTTATCCGTTAAAACTCAATCCAGATGTGTCTTTCTCCAGGAAGCCTTCCTTCACAACCTTACACGATGCAGATCTACTTTGTATAATTCTTCAATTAATGTCTGTCTCCTTTACAGAACTATAAGCTGAATGAGGCCCAAGATTAGGTCACTTTGGGCTTAATTAACATTGTACCTCTAAGGCCCAACACATTTCTCTGCAGATACTCAGTATTTGTGAATGTATGAATTTGTGAATTGCTAGGTCTGAGTTAGACACTTGAGCTGTGTACGCCTACAGCACTCCATGAGTGTCTCTGTAATGCTACTTAATATACTATATTGTAATTGTCTATTTGTCTATATTCTCCAGTAGGATTGAGTTCCTTTTTGACAAAGTTTTTGTCTTTTATTTCTGTATCTTCCAGTAGTTAGCATGGTGTCTGGTACATATTAGGTTTTCAATATATGGTTGACTATTAAATGAAAACTCTCCATTTTTAGAAATAAGATTTGTACATGTATTGCTAAGAGGGTTATAAATTGATATATCCATTTTGAAGGGTAATTTGACAATACTTTATAAAATTTTTAAATGGACTACAGCTATACTTTATTTGTAGGTACATTCAATGTTATGGTCATTGAAGCATTCTTCATACAAAGAAAAAAATTAGAAACATCCAAATGGTGCAATTTAAGGGACTAATAAAATAAGTTATGGTATATCTACATAATAGAATACCACGTAGCCATCAATGTTAGGACATCCTCAGCTACCTGGGACCAGGCTAGTCCTCTGTCTTATTTCCCCTGCCCCACCCATCAGACTCAGTTCTCTCATACCCCAGTGGCAATGAGTTCCATTTCAATTATCTCAGAAGCCCTAAGTGCCTCATCCTATACATAACCCTACCCAATTTCTTCCCCAGAGCCTCCATTTTGACTTCTCAGCTGTTGAGAAACCTAATCAAT